TTACAGGCATTCGCCACCGCGTCCAGCTGATTCTTTATTAACAGACAACTGAAGTCCACAGAGCTCCTCCAGTGGAAAAATGCCTCAATGTGAAAGAAACCCAACCTGATTTAGACACACCGTACCAGCTTGTAGAAACTAAGAAGCGTGTGTGATAATAGGTTTGTTGTACCAGGACAATTAACATTTTCTAATGCAAGTAAATGCTCACTTTAAATTTATTTCTTCTTTGTATATAGCTCATGCTCTTTGATTCAAGCCAGGCTACGAAAGCCCAATCATCACACACTATCACTTCAGTGATAAAAATCTAAGTGTCCCTTTTATGGGTGCAGTACGGGAACCCTGGAGTAGACAACACACATGTTCAAGATCACCCCCAAAGTACTCAGCCTAAAAGCCATGCCCAGGCTCCACTCCCTGTTCACTGTAGAATGAGGGAAGCAGTGTCCAGCTCCAGGCAATGAGTGAGCTGCCAGGAAGCAAGGAAAGGATGGACAGTGAGTTCTTTGCTGCATGGGGAAGTTGTTTACCTTAGCTGGGAGCTGAAAGCATTTGAGATGCTGGCATCCGCATTCCTGTAGAGATTGTGGAGATGGTAGCTGTAGAGCTCAGGGAAAGCCGAGTGAAGGGCTTGGGTAGTGCAGGCAACACACTGCATTAAAGAAGGAAGGTGGAGCTGGGAATCTGCAGTTCTGGGTGACCTTAAATTACTCTCGCATGGAGGGAAGAATGGCAGAAAACACAAGAGTAGACCTAGTGGACTTGAAAAGAGAGAATACGAGGCTCTGTCTTTCACAGTTTTCTGTTTCCTGGCTGTTCTGTGCCCATTCTGTTCTCATGTAATAGATAAATGACACTTACAGAACCTTCTCCCAAAGAATAATGTTGGGTGGGGCAGGTGACCCAGGCCTCTAGTCCCAGCTACTTGGGAGGCTAAGTAGGGAAAATCATAAGTTCAAAGCCAGCCAGAGCTCCAGAGTAAACTCAAGGCCAGCAAGTTCGTGAGACCTGGTTTCTAAGTAATAAGAAGTCTTAGAGTGTATAGCTTAAGTGTGAATGCTTACCTAGCTAATATGAATTAGGCCCTGGGCTTAATGCTCAGTGCTGTGATCAACCTAGAACAGTGGTTCTGAACCTATCTAATGCTGCGACCCTTTAATACAGTCCCTCATGTTGTGGTGACTCCCCAACCATAAATTATTTTCACTGTTATTTCATAAGTGTAATTTTTGCTACTGTTATGAATTCTAATATAAATATCTGTTTTCTGATGGTCTTGGGCAACTCCCCCCAAGGGGTCCTGCTCCACAGGTTGAGAAGACTGCCCTAAAGAGAAAGAAAGAGGAGGAAACGCAGAGAGAGGGAGCTGAGAGGAGCAGAGGAAAAGAGGTAGAGGAGGTAGGGAGACGGAGGAAGAGTGAAAAGGGGAAGTGAGAATTCGGATGAATGTTGGAAATAGATAACAGTGTTCATTGCAGTGTGAGTGTCCTGATCATCCCTACCCTCATACACTGCGATTCTGTTGAATGTGTTGGGTGGACCCTGAGAATTTAACTTAACTTTTCTAAGCAGATTTCAGGTGAGCTGCAGGTGCAGACCCATGCCCTGAGCTTGAATGGCACTAGATTGCAAAACACTGACTTTTTAAAGAATGTATGAATGTATGACAACAAAGCTCCTTCAAGCATGCCTGTGAATACCCAGGGATGAGAGAAGAGACCATGGAAGAAGAGTATAGAAGAGAAAGCTAATCTTTGTGAAAGATAAGTGTATGTAGCGAATGTACAGGGAATGATGGGTTTGGGGTGGAAAATCACCATTTTGCAGTGTTCAGTGCAATAACTGATTCAGGTAAGGGTCATTTGGTGAGAGGCTTTGGGGGAACAATGTACTCACAAGGTCTCAAAATATTAACCATATTAAATGAATTTCAAGTTGCTTACTAAGAACTGTTGGAGAAAGAAGACACTATTATAAAAATAAGTGATGAAATGTAAGTGCCTCCATGATGAAATACATGGACCTTGTGGCTCCCTGAAGGATGCAGCAGGAGATACAGTTGCATTTGTGGGATACTCTAACTAAAAATGCGTGTCCAGAATCCAGTCATAAAGCATTAGACAAATCCAAACTGTGGGGCATTCTATAAAACACCAGAAGCCAGACCCAGCGGCAATCAGCTGTCATCGCAGCGGGTTGGGAGCCTGAGGCAGAAGGCTTGCACATCTTTGACAGTGTTGACGACATAGCAGGACACACCTGAAAAAGGAAATGCGGCCCAAACTTTTCAAAACTTTCCAGGTAGCAAAAAAATAAACAAGAAAATATTCTAAACTAAAAGCCAATTACAGTAGATTCTGGGCCAAACTCATTCTATAATTGGTGATCTAGAGAAAATGTTATTATGGGCTGTTAAATAATATTTAATAACTATAAAATTGTTTGTATTGTAGTGGCACTGCAGATGTGTGGAGGTTGAAAATGAGGTACACACTGAAGTACTTAGGCATGAGTACCATTGCAACTCAAAGTGCATGCGCAGTGTGTGTGTGTGTGTGTGTGTGTGTGTGTAAGGGGGGGGAGACAGGGGAAGAGAGAGACAGGCAAGCAGACACACAGAGTGCAAAATATGACATAACCGTAATGTTGGGAAACATAGAGAATAAATAAATGTTAAATTTACCAACTTCTCTAATTTTTTTTTTTTTTAAGTTAAAGGGGAACTAAATCCTCTCTTTCCTACCTGTTTTAGGGTGACTTGAATGTGGGCACTGGGATAGGTATAGGGTGAAAGGTCAGAGGGCATCTGTGAAAAAAAAAAAAAGAGAGGCTGGGAAAAGGGAGGTTTGGGTGTGCCAGATAGAATCAAGAGACATGATCTACTTTATTGGGGGTAATTTAAAACTGACGCTTCCAGCAACTTTCACTGAACAGCCTACCACAAGAAGGACTGTCTCTTACTCCAGTCACAGCTGTAGCTAAGAAAACTGACACCGAGGGGTAAACAGCAAAGCAGTGGCTAAGCAGAAGTCCCGCCGGGTTTGGATTCTAAAGTGAGAGCACTGCCCTTGGGCAGAGCACATGTGTTTGCCATCCACAGCTGGAATGGCACCACAGAAGTTCCCACTCTTCCCTTCTGACGCCTGACAAGACCTTATTTGGGGGGTTCAGAGCAATTTTTATATTCTGCAAACATCTAGTGAATGTCTTCTGCCCTACACATCATTCTAGGGTGAAACAGAGTCCCTGTACCTCCAAGCTTACCTGGAGAGAGGAAAAAAAAGAATAAAAAAATAAGAAAGTCAGCAGGACAATGGTGGTGCATGACTTTGATCCCAACACTGGGGAGGAGGGAGGGCAAGGTGGATCTCTGTGAGTTCAAGGCCAGCCTGGTCTACAGAGTGAGTTCCAGGACAGCCAAAGCTAAATAGAGAGACCCTCTCTCAACAACCCCTCACCTCTGCAATAGTCAGTAGCAGATTTGGAGAATGTCTCTGCACTTTCAATTGGATACTTCAACAATTTAAAGATTCAGAGCTGGAGAGATGATGGCTCAGAGCACCTGAGGTCGGTTCCTAGGGCTCATGCCAGGCAGCTCACAACTCTTATACTCTAGCTCTGGGGCGCTGCAAGTGCTCTGGCCTCCGTAGGCACCTGCTCTCATGTGCACATGCCCAAACACATACACACAAAGAGATAGATAGATAAATAAACAGAGACAAACGGTTCTGAAGACTCAAGGGACGTGTAGCCTAGGCTGGGGAAACGGGAAGTTCAAGGGCCCTAGGGCAGTCATGAGCTGGAAGTGACAGACTCGAAGCCAGGTCTGACTGAGGCAGGAGGATTAAGAAACAGGAGGTTGGTACCTGGCCAAGAAAAAAGAAATAAATGGGAGGCAGTTAAACTAAGAGAATACTGTGATCTGATTTTCAATTTTAGAAAACCCTCTGGACAGAATTCTTGTGGGGAATGTGGTCACCCAGATGAGAATGGACGGCGGGTTCACAGTAGCGTGGGAATGACACGTCCTCTGAAGGGACGGATTTTGAATGTGGTCAATACTATCTGCTGCTGGGTGTGGGGCAAAAAGAAAAAGAGAAGCTATCTTCTAGGTTTGGGGTGAAGAAGCATCACAGCCCATAGTCCCCTTTGAATTGTAGAAACATTAAATGCCAAAATCTGTATGGGCCCCATTACTTAACTCACTCGACACTTACTGGCTATCCTTTATTAGAAGCTCAGGAGTCACAGGACTGGGAGTAACAGCTGCACCATCAGCTTCCTTGAGTGCTTAAAATAGTGTCCATAAAGGTTGTTGTGTTCCTGTGAGGGCTTTCTTTTTCTTTTTTGAGGTAAGTTTTCATGTATTCCCAAGACGGACTCAAACTCACTGTGTAGCCAAGGATAGCCTTGAACTCTCGATTCTCCTGCCCTTACTTCCCAAGTTCTGGAGTCACAGGCCTGTCCCACAGTCTCAGCTTTATGCTCTGGAGAGTGACCTGGTGATGGGGCATTTTCTTGACTAGCCTACACCTTTGTAGGATGGGTTCCTGGTAGACACCCCCTTCGACCCCATCTCTTCTTGTAAGAAGTGTTTCCTGTTTCCCCGGGTGTCTCTCAAGTGCTGCCCTGCTCCAGCCACCAGACTAGTTGCTTTACCCAGTGAACTGCAAGGCCTCTGGGAGCAAAGTCTGCCCTGGCTTCCTGCCTGGTCGGTACGAAGAGCACCCGTGTCCTGGGTAATGGGGCTGCTGAGCGGAGTTCCACTGAGGCAGGCCCCGGGCTGCAGCCCAGAGTGAGGCACTAAACTCTGGGTTTCGCCTGCAGAGCACCTCCTCTGGGCTGCTGATCTGAAGTTAAAGACTCAGTGGGGGCAGGTGTGTGTGTGTGTGTGAGAGAGAGAGAGAGAGAAAGAGAGAGAGAGATATCAACAGACATTGCATGAAATACTCAAAGAATTACTTAAAAAATATATATATATATTTTAAAAGACTCATTCATGGAAGTTAGCAGCAAAAGATTTAAAAAAAAAAGCTGGCAGGATTGGGGGATGGGTTCTTTTTAGAAAACAAGGAATTTTCAAAAGGTTAACATCAACCTTTTCCCTCTTTACAATTTAAATTTCTTGTTGTTGTTTTCTCTCCCAGGAAAAGGGTAGAAATTTAATACCTGTAACAGCTGGAAACTATTTGAGGGAAAAAAAAAAAAAAAAAAAAAAACCTGACCGTGTAAGCAAACAGCTATTTAAACTTTACTCTGGTGGTCATATAAAATTAGTAAACAGTTCTAAATTTGACTTTCAAGTCATCCAACGCGTTAACCGTTTCAAAAAATGCACATTCTTCCGTCATTACCCCATAGTTTGCTCTAAAGTTCCTTCCTTAGCTGGACAGGGTGAAACTCTCCGGAAAAGGCCGCCGCCGCGGTAACTTCCTTTCCTCGCTTTACATGGGAAATAAGGCGGAGTCCCACCTCCTCACTGTCTCTCGAGGCTGGGGCGGCCCCGCGGCGTCACTTCTGCTTGAAGAACGCCAAGGTCTCCCTGGCCTTGAGGTGGCTTTTCACGAACTCTGTCAGTCTCCTGAAGCCGTCGTCCAGCCCCTCCCCGGTGACGGCGCAGCAGGGCTGCACGTACCAGTTCCGGTCGCTGCACAGCTTCTTCACCTTAAACATCCTGGTGATGTCCTCAGCGCTCAGGGCTCCGGGCAAATCCTGTTTGTTCGCTAAAACCAGGACCGGCGCGTTCCGGATGTGCTCGTTCTGTAGGATGTGCTTGAACTCTCGGCGGGAGTCCTCCAGCCGCCGCGCGCCGTCCGAGCAGTCCACCACGTAGGCGAGCCCGTGGGCGTCCTCGCAGTAGCAGTCCCAGACGGCTCGCATCTTCTCCTGCCCGCCCACGTCCCACACCGTGAGCGCCAGCCCGCCCTGCAGCTGGACCATTTCCACGTTGAAGCCGATGGTCGGGATGGTGCTGACGGTCTCTGCCAGCTTTAGCCTGTAGAGCAGAGTCGATTTCCCGGCGGAGTCCAGCCCCAGCAGAAGGATGTGGGCTTGCTTGCCTTTGGGGCTTTTAGAGTTCAGCAGACCCATTTCGGGCTTTTTCTTCCCTAAAGAGCTTTTCTCTTGGCCAGAGACAAAGCTTCCTTTCCAGGTCTCGGATGAAAACGTTTCGGGAGAAATAGCGTCTGTGCCACAGCCATAGCCTGAGAACAGGTGCCTGTCCTCGTTTATAGTGTGGCTTATCGACTTGATGATAGGCAAACAGTGTTTTATTTGCCGTCCCAGCCAATCCTCAGGAATCTGTGGGAGTCGCCAGCGGGTATCACAGTGGCTCAAAGGGGACATTCTTTGTGAGTGAGTAGGGTTAGGCGTGGCCTGGTGCTGCACGGTTATTCTCTGCGGTGCAAAAGTTTGGAGGAAGTCAAAGACTAAGGCAAGCACAGGAACAGCCCGGTGGAACGAACACAACCTTTTGTTTTAGGTAACTTTAACTAAACTTTTTTTGTAGAACTATCTTATCCAGCTGTAAATAGGCATCGGGGCTGTCCAAGTGCCTGCAGAGTTTATCTCTCGTGTCTAAACCCTTCCTCTTACCAGATTACGCCACAGACTTTGAACCCCTTTCTGGTTATCGGAATGTTAGTCTCCGAGTCTCAGAAAGCAAGCATCACTTCTTGAGGCCTCCGGGGAACTTACACTACTCACAAAACCAAATTTCCCCAGGAAAAGTAAATTTATTTGTTTGTTTGTTTTGTCCAAGCAGTTTTCAATAAAACAAACTAATTGAAGGTGGTAACTGAGTACATACATTTATCACATCTCCTTCTCAACACATCACCAGAGGGATAAAAGGAACATACGAAGTCGCCAGAGAGTCCATCAGAGGGTGAGATTTTAACAAATATTCTGGAAGACAGAAAAGAGGTAGAAGATGGGAGGTAACTGGTCTAGTAGGAGGCAGCCGAGTGGTGCACTGGAAAGGAGCATTGAGAAGAGAACACACACAAAATTTTTTTTATAAATATTTGTTTGAAACAAGCAGATAAGATAAAAAGGAACACAGAAAACAAGACCAACTCCTGAAAACTTATTTTAAAAAGCAGACATTTTAAAGCCAGGCAGTGGTGGCGCATGCCTGTGATCCCAGCACTTGGGAGGGAGAGGCAGGCGGATCTCTCTGAGTTTTCGGCAGCCTGGTTTATGGAGTGAGTTCTAGGACAGCCAGAGCTATGCTCTGATAGGTTAGAGGCAAGCATTGAAAGAATTCTTCAGGAAGCAGAGAATGAGAAAGAAGAGCAAGAGGGACACCTCAGTCACGTCTCAAGGACAGGGTCTTATTCCTCAGAAGACCAGAAAGCGTGCCAGCGGGACACTATCAAAAAATAAGTGTTTCCCAGTGCAAAAGGATGCTCTGTGGGCAGTACAGGCACTTGCCACACAAGCCCAAGCCACCTGAGCATGACCCCAGAATCAATGCAGAGGTAGAAGGAGAAACCCAACCCCATGAAGTTTCCTTCTGACTTCCACAAGCACGTGGTAGCTTGTGTGTGTATGTGTGTTTAAAAGTTTTAAAATAAAGAATGAGATCTCTAGATGGAAAGGTTCTCCTCCATGCTTAGCAATATAATTTTTATGAAAAAAACTTGAGGCATATGACATACATCTTTTGGTTTTAGTAAAAAATTTTAAAAAGAAAAAAGTTCTCAGGTAGAATACTGTGTGCACAAAAAAAAAAAAAAAAAATCCATCTACAAGGAAATGGGGATCTGGAGAGATGGCCCGGCAGTTAGGAATGCTTGCTGCTCTCACAAAGGAATGGAGTTTGGTTCTCACCACATCCTTGGACATTCAGAAACCACCTATAACTTCAGCTCCAGAGGATCTGGCACCTTCTTCTGGCCTCCTCAGTACCCAAACATGTGACATACACATACACATTCACAATAAAGATAAATAAAATAATTTTATAAGTGGTTTAAAAATTTAAATTTTTAACCAGTTCCTTATGTCTCACCAATGAAACATCCATATACCCATCCAAGTAGCCCTCCAGCCAGCAGGTAGATGCGTCGGCAGATCTGTGATGGACAGGTAGATTGCCTGCCTGTGAACCACCCTGTGCTAGATGCCAACCCACAGATATAAGCTAGAGCTGCCTTTAAGTGGCCTTTCCTGGCAGAGAGGTCAAAAGATACACAAACAAATGAGAGTAACATAAGTGGAAATATGATACATCCCCTAAGAAAAGCTAAACTTAGGTAGCTGGGCCTTCCTGGATTGTTTCAGGGTGGAATTTATCAGGGAATCGTGAGGTGAATCTCAAGCTTGGAAAAACGCTGATGAAAAATTAACAGCTTATGCACAGGTTGTTGTTTTTCTATAAACCTGCAAGTGTCTCAAGAAAGCCAGCTTCTTGGACATGAAATAAGACTCTTCAGTTATGTCTAAATCGTGGAAGAAGTAGAAGAAAAGGCAGAAGTGAGAACATAGAACAAAAAACACTGATTAAAAAAAAATAAATCAATGAAACTACATGAGCAAGGCGTGTGGATCTCCTCTGAGGCCACTCTGGTCTACATGGCGAGTTCCAGACTAGGGAGGGATACAGAATAAGACTTGTTTCAAAAAGCAGATGACTGAGTAAATGAATGAATGAGGATAACTACTGGGGAAGCTGATTGGAGACTATTTATTTCAACGCACTAGGCATAGGCTGGGACTGGGGGATGATGTACTTGATGTGAGAACAAGATGGCCTGAATCCGGGGTCCAAACCTAACAGCCAAGTGCAGCAGCACATGTCTGTAACCCCAGCCCTTGGGGTGGGGCCATGGGAAGCTGGGTGTGGGCTCTCACTGGCTTTCCAGGCTAGCTGAAATGGTAATCTCGAGACTTAGTGAAAGATTAGTGAATGAGCACACACACACACACACACACACACACACACACACACACACACACACGGGTGTGCCCATTGGTGATCAATGATAAATTTCTTGAGGGAAGTGGTAGAATTGTGGGTATAAATTAGGGCATCGTTGTTCTAAGAGTGATAGCATTAACTGAGTCAACAGACACAGGTGCATCACAGTAAGTGGGGGGGAGCGTGGCCACAGTGTGCAGCTGGTGGGGCTAGCGGAGCAGTACTGGAGTCTTCGCACTCTTGTTGGTGTGTAATGATAACTTTTAGTCACCTGATGTCATTGTTGTCTCCAAGGCTTACTGCCTGTCTGATAACCCAGGAGCCTCTAGCCTCCGTACAGTCTAACCTAGGCCTAGAATGTCTTCAGCCTCTGAGACTTACTGCTGAATAAGCTTACCCTTTCTGGCTCTTTCTGAACTCTGGCTGGCTGGCTCAACTCAGCTTTTCTGGCTCAGACGCTTCTCCTAGCTGACGGATTCAATCTGGGCTCTCTCAGTTTCTCACTGAATTGCTCTGCTTGGCCTCATACTAACTTTGGCAATCTGTTCTAATCTTCTGGCTCCTTCTCATTCTCTGCCTTGTTCTGTCTTTACCTGTCATCTCTTCAACCTCTCTCTGCAAAACTCTCCTGGTAAAATCTGCCTCTGAATCCCAGGAACTCAACTGCCACAAACTCAACTCCATGCCACTGCCTCTCAATTCACTCTCAGCTGAACTGCCTGAACAGAACTGAATGGAACTCAGAGATCTGCATGCCTCTGTCTCCTGAGTACTGGGAATAAAGGCCTGTACCATCCCACCTGGACCTAAGCTTTTCTTTACCAGAAAATTGCTCTATACCAGGCTGGTCTTGAACTCAGAGATCTGCTTGCCTCTGTCTCCTGGGATAAATGTTTTGTCTGTATTCCAGCCAGAGTAGCCATGTTGCTGGATTAAAATTCATGTGCAATGATGGTTTGAGTCTCCCCCTCCCCCACACTTCCTTCTAGGCTTGAAACTATTCAGAATAACTTGCTGAAAAGGAGCTGAGTTGGAATGAGCTGATCAAATTAGGCTGCATTCAAAGGAAGAAGTAATTCAGCTCAGAAAGTGAGAAGACTGTTCTTCCAAAGGTGACCTTGGAGACCCTGAATGTCACTCAAGCTCTTTTCCACTCCTTATTTTGAATAAGTTAAACATAACAGAAAATTCGGACATAAACTTCATATTAAACTCACTGATGTGATCTTGTGGTCCTCTGTTGGTGAGGGGGCATCTTTCCTTTATCTAGGCCACAATGAGGATGCTGCTCTGCCCTTGCCTTTACACTGTTCCCATCAAAGCACAGGTCCCTTTTTAGTTGAAGACAAAGGAGTAATGTGGGTGAATATCATAGTTCAATGGTCACATGGTTTTCTCTTCTAAACAAGGGAACAGAGTAATTTCTTTCTACTGTTTATTGTCCAGAGCCTGCAAATGTTTCAACATCCTTTGATCTTCTCTCTCAAAACACATATGGATTTTCTTGTCCCAGATACACCCAAGGGGAAGCAAGCAATTTGATTATTTGCAACTTGTTCTTAGATTATGCAAATAAATATAGGATTGTAATGGAGTCACAGTCACTGACCCATTTTTTAAAATTTTCTGATGCATGTTTAATTCGGGTTTTTTTTTTTTTTGCCTACATACTAATCTTTTTTAAATTAATTAATGTATTTTTATTAATTACAATTTATTCATTTTGTATCCCAGCTGTAGCCTCCTCCCTCATCCCCTCCCAATCCCATCCTTCTCCCTTTTCTCCTCCTATGCCCCTCCCCAAGTCCACTGATAGGGTAGACTTCCCCTTCCATAGGTTCTCTTCCCCTTCCATCTGACCCTAGTCTATCAGGTCTCATCAGGACTGGCTGCATTGTCTTCCTCTGTGCACTGGCCCACTTTGTAGTGTCAGAAATTTGGGGACCAGTGAGATAGCTAAGAGGGTAAAGGAAGTTCCCACCAATCCTGGCATTCTGTGTTCAACCCCTGTGATCTATATGGCACAACAAAAAACTAATGCCTGAAAGTTGTCCCCTGACCCCCAGGCACACACCCATATACACACACAAGGAAGTAAATAAACGTATTTTTAAACATATGTTAAAATGCAGGTGTAAAAAAGCCAAACACTTACCCTGGGGAAAAAAACGAAAGTCCTGAGCTAGAATTTCACTTTGTATTATATGTTTGTGGGCTAACCAAGCAAACAAACAAACAAACAAAAAGCCAAACCAAAACAAAAATTCTTACTGCCCATTGTCCTTTTTCCCCCACAGATAAAAA